CCCCCGCTGGTGGTTTAATTACTGTGAATGTCGCGGGCGGCCGGTCCTGTCAGCGGCGGAGGGGCAGGTCCGGGGGGCCGTGGGGCCGCCGTGGGTGGTCGCCCGGATGTCCCCGTCCCTAATTTGTCCCCCTCCAGCCCTGCCCTTGGTCTCCGAATTAGGTCACGGGGGCCGGGGGGAGCAGGGATGTGGGGGTGCAGCCCCCGGGGCGGCCTCGGGGGAGACGTGACCAGAACAAAAGCGAGCGCTCGTTAAACTCTTGACATCGCCCTCGAAGCAAACAAACAAACCCCCCCCCGCCCCGGGACCTCCTTCCTCCGGCCCTCAGGGTGGGTGGCACAGCCTGGTCCCCCTGCAGGACCCCCTGGCCGTGGCTCCCGAGGGGGATTCTGATCCCATGGGAGCTGGTGGTGTCCCCAGGCCGTGCTGGGGTACAGGGTGGGGGTCACTCTTGGTGCACCCATGGGACTGGTTCGGTGCCTCCCCAAGGCTCCTGGAGACCCCCGAGGGTTTTACCCCCAGTGTGTGGAGAGGGCAGAGCTGGACACTCCCCCCAGGGCAGTTCTGCCCTTGGAGCCCCCCCAGGGGGGCTGGGGGATCTCTGGGGGAGCAGGTGGGATCTGTAGGGTAGGGATGGGGTGTGGAGGGGCCCAGGACATTCCCAGGGGGAGTAGCAGCTTCCAACGTGTCCTGAAGGACCCCAGTTGGAGCGGGAGAGCAGGGACACGGCCAATGGCCATGGAGTCACCGCCCCAGCAGGGCCTGGGGCCTGTCTGACCCATCGGGGGCTGAGCTGGAGCCACGTCCGTGTGTCTGGCCCTCACTTGGGCCAGAAGGTTCCCTGGCCCCATGGGCAGTGACCACACTGTCCCCTCCTGCAGTGACCCTCCAGTGCCCACCCTGTCCCCTCCTGTGGTGACAATCCCCTGCCCACCCTGTCCCCTGTCCTGGCCCAGCCATAATTAGCTGCTGGACATTCCCGGAATACCTGCAGCCCCTAATGAGGCTCCATAAAGCTGCCCCTGATCCTGCGGCTCCTCCGGCACTTGGGGCCACTTGTAAATCTCTGCTTTACAACCGGGGGGGGCTGCACTGGGAGGAAATGGAGGCTGGGAGGGGGGACACAGCTCCTGCCATGGCCTGGAGCTGGTGGTCTGGTGTGGGGTGTCCCTTGCACTGTCCTGGGTCTCCATCCCTGTCCCATGTCCCCCATCCCTGTTCCTTGTCCCCCATCCCTGTTCCTTGTCCTCCATCCCTGTCCCTTGTCTTCTATCCTTGTCCCGTGTTGTCCATCCCCTCCTCAGGGTCAACCCACCCTCCCTGCAGCTCTCGGGGGGTTCAAGGTGGTGACCCCCACTCAGTGGTGGTCTCAGACCCTCCCCCCATCGCTGGGACGGGGACACCCATCTCTGGGGGGCTGAACAGGTTTAGGGATGGTTGTTCCCAGTTTTGGGATTCTCCAGGTGTCGGTTGTGTGAAGGCACAAGGACCAGTGTGTCCAGGGGGCTCGGGAGGGGGCTGCGGGTGGTTCCCAGGTGGGAGATAAACCTGGGAATGTCCGGGGGCTCTGAGCCAGGCACAGGGCACCGGGTGGGCTCTGTCCCCTCTCATCCCTTGTCCCTGGGGTGCAGCCGGCGCCGGGAGCATGGGAAAAATGAGAAGCATCAGGAAAGATTTCCCAAGCCCTCGGAGCTGGATGAGGCCGGGAGATCCCAAGGGAGGGGTGGGAGGGGGGGCCGTGGAAACACAAGAGGGGCCGTGGGGACACGGGGATCTGGTGCTGACTGTGGGATCCAGTGCCAGTGAGGGGCTGAGTGAGGGGCTGGATCTGGGGGGGGTACTGGGTCCCGAGGAGGGCCACGATCAGCAGCCCAAGCAAAATGCGTTTATCATCAATTTTCCCTTTTTCCCAGTATCTTTTTGACTCTATAAATTTTTTATTTTACAAAAAGTCTAAAAAACCGAAGGAGCCGGGGCTGGGGCCGGCGCCGGGGAGGCCTTTAGGGCACGAGTTACAGCAGATGTCACTTGTCCAACACTGGAGCCACGGGGACACTTGTGGGGCTTTTCCTCTCCTGTGGCTCTTCAGGGGCCCCGAATCCCCCGATCCCGCTCCAGGGACACCAATTCCCTCCATCTCTGCCGCCGGGGGAGCCAGGGGTGGCATCGCAGGCAGGTCTTTGTGGCAAGGCCACGTGTGACAAAGCCTGTGTGACGTGGTGGCAGTGTTGGATGTCCCCGTGCTGGATGTCCCCGTGCTGGATGTCCCCGTGCCAGATGCCCCCACGGATCCAGGGCTCAGACAGAACGAGGAGTGGGGGTGTCACTGGGCCTCAGACCAGCCCGGGAGGGGGAATCTTCTTCTGTGGGGGGTCTTCTCCTCCCCCTGTCCCCCTCGGGGAGCCGCAGCCCCCTGGCCCTGGCACTGATGGGCTGATCCCAGTGCCCACAGACGCCCACGAGGGCGATCGGTCCCGGCCTCATTCCTTCTCCACCTTTCCATAGTGCAAATGGTTCCCAGCCCCCGAGGGGCTGCCCCATCCCCTCCACTCCCTCCAGCCCCCCTTTGGCTGCGGTGTCACCACCAGCTCCCTCCTGGTGACACCAGATGAGCCACCACAAGCCCAGTGTCACTGACGGCACCGGTGCTGCCCGGGGGTCCCGGTGCCACCAGCTCATGTGACCCCTGCCCACGGTGATGGGACCCCGGGGGTGCAGATGGAGCTGAATGCTTGGAACTCTTGGATTATTTCTCTCTCTTTTTTTTATTTTTTTTTTTTTTTTTTTTTTCTTGTATATTTTTTCTGTTCAAGTGCTGGTTTTGGTCCCACCGTGAGCCCCACCCCGACCAGCCGTGGCCTTTTGGGCCCCGCTGTGAGCCCCCCCCCCCCTAGGGCCCATCTTGGACCCCCCCAGACCCCCCAGAGCGACAGAACGAGGAACAAAACAACGAACAGACGAACAGAAAAGGAACCTAAGACGTTACACACAGACCGATACACCAGGAAATAATTATAATAATTATAATAATTATAATAATAATATACTGAGGGGGCCACCACCCCCACAACCCCCACCTGGGAGCTGCCTATGGGACCAGTCAGCCCCGGGCACTGGGACCAGTGCTGCCTGCTGCTGGGGCCGTGGTCCAGTGCCCAGAACTGACTGGTCCCAGTGCCCGGGGCTGACTGGTCCCACTGCCTGGAGGTAACTGGTCCCAGTGCCCAAGGCTGACTGGTCCCAGTACCCAGAGCTGACTGGTCACACTGCCTGGAGCTGATGGGTCCCAGTGCCCCATGATAACTGGTCCCAGTGCCCCATGCTAACGGGTCCCAGTGCCCAGGCCTTCCCATCATTTCTCCTTCAGTGCCACCTGCCTGTGACAGTCGCCTTGGGGCCCTGGGGGGCCTTTTGGGGTGACAAGTGGGTTTGGGGCTCCCCCAGGCCCAGGGCAGCTCCAAACCCTTTCCAGTCCCTTCACAGTGGCTTCTGGATCTTTCCAAGTGCCTGGCTCTGTCTTCCCTGGGACCGTTGCCTTCGGCATAACACGGGCACCGTGTGGGGACACTGGGGGTCCCCCCTCCTCCACCCCAAGCCCCAGGGCTGCCGGAGGCCACAGCCCCCCCAAAAGGCACTGAAGGGCAGGGGGAGGGGTTGCCCCCGCCCCAGGGTTTTCATTGGCATCATTTTATCTGATGTATTGGAAGAGCCACCACTGACCCCCTGGCTTGGGGACCTCGGCCACAAGGGGCTGTTGACCACGGTGTTTTGGGGCTGAGCTGTGCCCCCCATTCAGGGCTGAGCGGGGCTGGGAGATGCTCCTCTGCCTCCAGAACCCCACTCCTTGGAACACCGGCTCTACCCCTGCCTATCCCCTCACCTCCCACCCCTGCTGCCACCGCCGGAGCCACCAGCCCGGTGGCATCGGGAGCCTGGCACGAGGGGCCGTAAGTGCTGCCAGGCGGGGGGATCCGGGGTCTGGCACGGCCGGGGGTCGGCACCGTGTCCTCGTCCCGGGGTGGCCTCGTCCTTGTAAGCGCTTGTGGCTCCGCGGAGCCGGGGACAAGTGCTGAACATCCCGGGAGAGCCCCCGGCCGCCCGGCGCCGGCCCTTAAGTGCTACGCGGGGTGCGGACGTGCCTGGCCACGGGGTCGTTCCCCGCCTGGCCCCGGGATGGAGCCGCGTGTCCCCCCCGGCACCCTCGGGATAAGTGCTGGGCCCGGGGGCCGCGGGGGCTTCCCCTCCCCGAGCCGCCGCTCCCGCCCCGCCGCGGGGTCAGCGCCCGCCCGGCGCCGGGAGCGGCCCCGCACGGCCCCGGCGGCCCCGCGGAGGGAGCGCTGGAGCCTCCGGGCTCTGGGAACGCGGGAGAATCATCATTTCTCACGTGAAAAATCCTCCGGAGCGCCGAGGGCGGCGGGACGCGAATGCGCCGTGTAAGCGGAATTTCTCCCCGGCCGGAGCCTCCGTCCAAAGCCCGCTGGGGCTGCCTCCGGGTAACCCCGGGCTGCCGGACGCCCTCCCGCCGGCGGAGACCCCCCGAGCCCCCCGGGAGAGCGCTGTGTGCCCTGTGCCGGTGCCAGGGCTGGATCCAAAGCTCGGGCGGCAGCTCCGTCCCCTCCAGCCTGGGGGTGGCGGTGGTCCCCGGGAGGCCCCTCCAGAGCAGTCCGGGCTGAGGGTGCGAAGGGAGGGACCGAGGCGAGCGCCAGCCGGGAGGGTGATTAATAAATAAATAAATTAAAGAAGGGAGACGGTTTCCTCCCGGGCCGGAACAGCCCCGGCGCGCCCGTCCCGGGGGTCCCGCTGCCGGACCCCGCTGTCTTCGCTCCGGCGGGAGCCCGTGGCTGCTCGGGGACCTCCAGGTCACCTGCCCGTGGGCGTCACCTCGGCCGCGAGGTGGGCAGGGGTGGCCCCGTTCCCGCTGCTGCTCCAGGAGCGCGAGGAGGGGCCGCGGGGTCTCCTCGGCCTCCTCCTCTCCCCGTTGCTGCTGAGCTGGGGTGGGGGAGCCGCCCGGTGCCGTGTCGCTGTGTCACCGTGTCACCGTGTCACCTGTCACCGTGTGGGGGTCCCGGCCCCCCCTTCCCTTCTCCGTTCGGTTGCTTTATTGCACAATGCATGTCGAATCGCGGGTTTGGTGCAGTGTTTCTCCGTGGGATTTCCTTCTCTCTCTCTCTCTCTCTCTTCCAACATCCAAAGGAATTTCAATGCTTGGTCTTTGTATTTTTTTTTTCCTCTCCCCCGAAAAAAAAAGAAATCTTAAAGAAAAGCAAGAAACAGCGGAAGAAACGAGGAGCTGGCGGTGGAGGGGGTGGTGGGGCGGAGGGGCAGCCCCAGCCGGGCTCTAGGAGCACCCGCATCTGTCAACCACCATGCCGGGGATCTTCCCGTAGATGATCTGCTGCTTGTCGTTGAAGTAGAGCATGTTGATGGGGGACATCTTGGTGGGGGTGCAACAGGGCCCCGCCGAGCCCCGGGGGTTGGCCTGCTGCACCAGGTGGGTGTGGGGGTACTTCTGCATGAACATGTACTCGCACTGCCCCGAGCAGTAGTTGGCTTTGTATCTCTTGGGGGCGATGATCCAGTCCCAGCCGAAGGCCTCGAAGTCGACGGTCAGGGGGTAGCGGCAGCAGCGGGACTCGGTCGAGTGCTCGTCGCAGTCCAGCCCCAGGTTCCGCCGCGAGCGCTTGTTGTTCTCCAGGACCCGCAGCTCCATGAAGGGGTGCTGGGGGGGGAGAGGGACACACTGAGCCACCACCCCGCTGGACCCCGGCCCAGCCCCACGGGATGGCAGCGGCCCCATGGCAGTGTCACCAGCCCCATGGAGCTGCCACCAGCCCTACTGAGCTGTCGCCAAGCCCTATCAAGATGTCACCAATGCCATGGAGGTGTCACCAGTGCCATGGAGGTGTCACCAGTTGCACAAAGCTGTCACCAGCTCCATGAGGGTGTCATTGTCCCCCTGGAGCTGTCACTGTCCCCATGGAGCTGTGACAAGCCCCAGGGAGCTGTCATTGTCCCTGTGGAGCTGCCACTGCTCCCCAGATCCGTGACCACCCTCCCCCTCTGTCACCCTCCCCACAGAGCCACATCCCCACCCCTCCCGATTGCCCCCACACCCTCCACTCCCCCGAGGACACTCACCAGCCCCTCGGCGCCGGGCCCCAGCGAGGTGACGGCCAAGTCGTTGCCGTTGGGGTCGAAGGCGTTGATCTCGATGCCCCAGTTGTTCTGCGGCTGCTTGAACCAGTTCTGCAGCACGTGCTTGAAGTCGATGCTCTGCCAGTGCCCCAGGCGGGAGTTGAGGTCGATCTTGAGGGAGCGGATGCGGATGTGGCGACTGCCCTCGTCCGTGACGGGCTTCAGGCGCAGGATCTGCAGGTAGACGGTGGGGGTGTGCTGGACCGGCCGCAGGTACACCCAGAGCTGCGCCTTCACCACCTTCGTGAACATGATCTTGGGGCTGAAGTTGAAGAAGCAGCAATGGGGGTTGCCCTCGATCTGCACCACCGGGTCCGCTGCGGGAGGAAGGAGGCGTCAGGGGTGGCCCCGGGATCCCTCCCAAACCCCGGGACCCCACGAGCTCCTCCTCGGTCGTTAGGAGTTGAAGGTCGGGTCAGAGGCTGCCCCGGGGGTCACCACCCCTCCACCCGCGGTGATCCCCGGCTGCCCCCTGACCCCGGGGAATCCTGAGCCCCCTGGAGCGAGCCTCCTGCGGAGGGGGCCGGGCTGAGCGGGGCGGGGGGCTCCGGCCCCATAGCACCTGCTCGGGGCAGCCGCTTCCCAGCACATCCCAGCGCTGGAGCTGGGAATGTGCCCGGCCCCAGGTACCTCTGGGCTCTATCTCCCACCCCCCCTCTGCACCCTCCCTGAGCCGGTTTATGGGGCAGCACCACACCTCGGGGGTCTCTCCCAGCCCCCCAGTACGACATGCCAGGGCCACGTGCTCAGAGGTGGTGAAGGTGAGTGGCCCCACAGGGACATCCACCTCGGTGGGGTGACAACCCCGAGCACCCACCGGACCCGGGGGTCCCCGGAGGTCCCTCCCCCAGCCCCACGGCAGCACCCCGGCCCCGCGCCGGCCCTCCCGGCCCGGCGAACATCTGTGTCAAATTGAGCTGGGAATTCGCCCCCCGCCCCGCGCAGCCCCCTCCCCCTGCACCGGTCAGGTTTAATAGCACCCAGCTGCAGCAGGGCCATTTGCTGTGCCGAGGCCTTCCCGGGCTCACGAGGGTCACGACACCGGCCATAGCCCCCGGAATGCTGCCCGGCCCCCCGGCTGGGGGGGCCCCGACCCCCCCGGGATGGGGGCACCCTCCACCCAAACTCCCCCCGTGATGTGCAGTGCTCAGACCCCCGACTGAACTCCCCCGTGCCCGTCCTCTCAGCAGGTTGTGCGCCCCCAGCCCCTTGGTGGAGGCTTTGCCACCCATCACCAGTGGGATGTCACCCCACGGAGGGCTGTGGGCGAGGTGACACCCATGCACAGGGGTCTGTGGTGGCCAGTTTGTGCCATGAGGTGGGATCTGGGGGGTCTCCAGGTGGGAGATGCCGGAGCAGTGCTGGAGCCGGGGCAGGTCCTGGGGAGCTGCTCCTGAAGCCCCTCGCTGGGACAGCGGCAGCACCGGTGGCACCGCTGACCCTCTGCCGGCCCGGGGGTCGCTGTGGCATCCCGGCGGACACCGGGGCTCTGACTGACATCTCGGGGGGACATCGGGCCCGGGGGGAACCGGTGGGGGGGGCTCTGACACGCTGGCTGCGGTGCCAGGATGCTCGTCCTGTCGCTGTGGCAACAGGGGATAAAGGTTACCGGGACACCGGTCACAGCTGGGCATGTGCCGGGAGGGGGCCGCCCCCGGCCCCCCCCACTCTCTTTGTTCCCACCGGGGCCCGGATTCGGGGCTCCCACCCCCGCCCCATCAACCTCCCGACTGGAGGCCCCCAGATCCGCGGAGCCCCGAGGTGCCGTGTGCCAGAGGTAGCTCTGCCGTGTCCCCATGTCCTTGTGTCCCCGTGTCCTCACGTCCCACTGACCTTGAGCGGCTCCGGCCCCCCCCCGGCCCCCCTCCAGCCCCTCGCCCCGGTCCCCCCGGCCCTCATCCCCCCTCATTAAGCTCCCTCCCCCCCCGCGGGTCGCGGGGGTCACGGGTAGCCCCTCAATGGGTTTAGGACCCAATTAACCTTCCCGGGTTCCTCCTGCAGTTAAAAACCCCCAGGGGGGTGGGGGGTTTGGGGGTGGTGGCCGGGGATTAATGGGGGGGCGGCCGGGGGGAACCCGAGAGCTTTATGGCTCTGCTGCCTTTAAAGCCCTTTCCCTCCTTCTGTTCAGGAACCATAAAACCCCCCACAATTGCCCCGGGGGGGCAAGGAGGGAGGAAAAATCATAATAATAACGGAGCGGTGGCAGTCAGGGGTGGGGAGCGGACCTGCGGCGCATCCGGCCGGGGGTCCGGGGAAGTGAGACCCCCGGCGCGGGGCCATGTGGGAGGAGGGGCTGCCCTCTGGTATTTATTTTGGGGGCCCCCGAGCTGTGAAGGGGTGGGAGGGGGGCCCGGGGGCCGTGAGCGCTGCCGCGGCTGAGGGAGGAAAACCCCAGCGTGTCGTCAATTTTATGGGTAATAAAATTTCAAAGCCGCCCGAGTCTATTAATGCCTGGGAAGGAAATTCGTCGGGGGGCGGCAGGAGGGGGGCAGCGCCTCACACTTCCCTCCCTTCCGCTCGCCCTTCGCACCCGGCCCCCCGCCCCCTGTCCCGGGGGTCCCACGGCTGGAGCAGGTGGAGAGACCCCAGGGGATCTGGGGGGGGACGGGGCCACATCACGTCGCAGCAAAGTCCCCGTGACCTGTCCCCTCCCTGCTGTCCCACCGGGGACCCCTCACACTCCTCACAGCCCTCACAACCCTCACAGCCCTCACACCCCTTGCACCCCTCACAGCCCTGAGAGCCCCTCACAGCCCCTCACAGCCCTCACAGCCCCTCACACGCCTCAGAGCCCCTCAAAGCCCTCACAGCCCCTCAGCCCTGAGAGCCCCTCACAGCCCTCACAGCCCCTTGCAGCCCTCACTGCACTGGCCTGTCCCCAGCACAGCCTGTTGTCACATTGATGTCACCTTGTTTGTCACCCTGTTTGTCACCCTGCCATCACCTGCCTGTCACCTTCCTGTCACCCTGCCCTGTGCCCTGCGGACCTGCCCAGTGCCCCCAGTCTGCTCCCTGTGCCAGCTCCCAGTACCCAGTGCGGGGTCCTGATGCTACTCCCAGTGCCCAGTCCCACTCCTGACTGGTGCCAGTGTCTGGTCACAGTCTCCAGTGCCCAGTCCCCAGTCCCAGCTCCCAGTGCCAGGTCCCAGCACTCACTGGCTGGTATCAGTCCCTATTGCGAAGTCCCAGTCCCCCATCCCCGGTCCCAGTCCCCAGTGTCAGCTCCCAGTGCCGGGTCCTGGTGCTACTGCCCAGTCCCAGTACCTACTGCCAGGTTCCAGCACCCAGCACCCAGTCCCAGCACCCAATGTCAGGTCCCAGCACTCAGTACCAGCTCCGAGTCCCCAGTCCCAGCTTCCAGTATCAGGTCCCAGCACACAGTATCACCTTCCAGTCCCCAGTGCCAGCACCCAGTGCCAGCTCCCAGTCCCCTGTCCCAGTCCCCAGTGGTCAGTCCCAGTCCCGTCTCCCGGTTCCCAGTGCCCCGTACCGGGGCTGCCGCGGCCGCGCTGTCCCATCCCCATGTCCCTGGGTCCCCACGTCCCCACGTCTCTGTGTCCCCGCGGGACCTGCACGGACCGGGGGGAACCGGGAAGCCCCGAGGGGTGTCGGGGAACCCCGACGAGGGTCGGAGAGCTCCGGGGGGGTCGGGAAGCCCCGAGGAGGGTCGGGGAGCCCCGGGGGAGGAAGCGGAGGATGGGGCGTCCTGGAGGGACGGTGCCGGCGGGCGGGAGGGGACCGGGGGATCGGGAGGGGAACGGAGGGGGGAGCCCGGGCAGGGGTTGGGGGTTGGGGGGAGCCCTCCGGCGAAGTTTGCAGCGGAACAAAGGGCGGCACTGACTTTCCTGGGCCATGCTGATGACGGTCTCGGTGGTGGCGTGGTACTCGTCCTCCTCCAGGTACTCGTCGTGCTGCAGCGAGTCCCCCTGGAAGTCGTGGAGGTCCAGGAGCTGCTGGAGCGGGGGGGCCTTGGGCAGCAGCTGCTTCACCACCTCCCGGGTGATGTTGGGCGCTTCCTTCAGCCGCAGCTTGCTCAGGATCTGCGACTTGATGCTCTCCAGCCGCAGCTCTTTGCTCTGCCGCCGCCACAGGCACACGGGGCAGGCGGGCTCGGAGGCGGGGGGCTGCTCCACCGACCCCCCCCCCGGCCACCACCGCCACCACCGACCCCAACAACCACCACACCGGGGCCATGCCGGGGGGGAAAACAAAAAAATACATAAAAGAAAAAGAAAAGAAAGAAGAAAAAAAATAAAACCCTTCCCCACCGGGCCGCCCCCCCGCCCCGCTTCCACCGCAACGCGCAAGGGGGGGAAGGCGGTAACGGCGGCGGGGGCGGGGAAGCGGGGACCCCGGGGGGGGCCGAAGGGGGGGGGGGGGGATGAAAAAAAGCGGCGGTAGCGGCGGCCCCGGGGTTTTATACCCCAAGAGAAGTGTGTCGTCAGCGGCCTTGATTGGCTGCGGGCGCACAAAAGAGGTTCTGGCAGGGGCTTGGCACCAGCCGCCGCCGGCCCCCCGAGCCCGGGGAACGGCCCCGCCGCCGCCCGGTGCGCCCCGGACCCCCCGCCCGCCTCCCGTTCGGGGCGGGGGGCGGCGCCGCGGGACCCGCTCCCGGCAAGTGCGACCGGGGGGATGCGCGTCCCGGCAAGTGCACCGCCCCCGGGATGCGCGTCCCGGGCCCCCCCCGGACTCCCCCCACCCTCTGAGCCCCCCCGCTCGCCGCGCTCCGTTGCCGGCCCCGGCAGAGCCCCGGAGAACCATCGGTGTGTTCCGGGAGCGGCGAGGGCGGGCAGAGCCCGCCCCAGGGAAGCCCAGCTCTGACTTGGGGGGCACGGGGGTCCCCGGTAGGCTGCAGTGGGCGCTGGGGGGGTGGGTGCCCGGCTTGGGAGAAGCCTGGCACCGGGAAGTGCTGCAGTGACCGTCAGCGGGTTCCAGGAGTAACAGGGACCTCGGCCGAGGGAAGCCCAGCCATGAGTTGGGGGGCACGGGAGGTCCCGGGGGGCTGCAGCGGGTGCTGGGGGGGCAGAGGGGGAGGCTGAGCACCGCGGGAGAAGCCTGGCACCGGGCAGAGCTGCAGCCACTGCCAGCGGGTCCCAGGAGCAACGAGGACCATCACACCACGGCCGAGGGGAGACCAGCCACGAGCTGGGGACGTGGGGACTCCGAGGGATCACGGGGGTCCTGTCCCCAAGGCGGGGGCGCTCGAGCTTTGGGGGGGCAGAGCAGTGAGGTCGCCCCTGGCACGGGGCAGATGCCGCCGTCAGTAGGTTCCAGGAGTAACAAGGATTGCCACAAGCACTGAGATCAGTGTGGGGACCCCACAGGTGACCGGGGACACCCCCCCTCACTTCTGGTGCCGGCCCCATCAGAACCATGGAGAGGGGAAGGGACACCGGGGATACACCGGCACCGCTCCGGCGCGGCGGGGGTGGTGAGGGGGTCCTGGCCCGGTGCGGTGGGTCACTGACACGGCCCGGGCGGGGGCCTGTCCCGGGGTGGGTTTGGGGGGGCGGCCCCGTTACCCCCCCGGTCCCGGGGGCGGTGCCAGCGCGTCCCGCCAGGGGGCGCCACTGAGCTGCCGGGGTCGGTCCCACAGCGCCGGGGGGGCGGCGCCACCGCGCGGCCACCGCGGGAACTGCAGGGGGGGCACCGGGACCCCAAAGGGACCCCACGGGGGGACACGGGGACACACAGGGACCTCAGGGACCCCAAAGGGACACACAGAGACCCCACAGAGACACCCAGGGACCCCACAGAGACCCCAAAGGGACCCCAGAGGGACACACAGAGACACCACAGGGACACACAGGGACCCCAAAGGAACTCCAGAGGGACACACAGAGACACCACAGGGACACACAGGGGACCCAGGGACACACAGAGACCCCAAAGGGTTACACAGGGACCCCACAGGGACACACAGAGACCCCAAAGGGATACACAGGGACACACAGGGACACACAGGGACACCACAGGGACACACAGGAGGAAGTGTGGGGAGGCGGGAGGGGACAGGGACCCCAAAGGGACACCACAGGGACCCCATAGAGACCCCACAGGGACCCCAAAGGGACACCACGGGGACGCCGGGGGCAGCGGGACCCGCAGCGGGGCTTCCCCCGCCGCCACGGCAGCACCGCTCCCCGGCGTGACACCCCGGGAAGTCGTCCCGGTCCGTCCCCCCCTACACCGGGGTCCCGCCGCCCTCGGGGGTCTCGCCCCGTCGGTGTGACCCCTCCGCCGGCCTGCGGGAGCGAGCGGGTTAAAGCGGCTCCGTGACGCGCCCGCCGTCCCCGCCCACGGGCCGCCCCAGGAGCTGTCAGCGGCCCCGGCCCCGGTAACGGCAGCGGCGGAGGCTCCCGAGGGGGCCGGGGGTCCCCGCGGGGGCGGGTCGGGGTGGGGGGCACCGGGGGGTTGGGCCTCGGGGAGGGGGGGAGGTTTGGGCCGCGGTCGTTACGGGGGGGTCCCATCGCCCCGCGCCTTCCGGGGGGCAGCGGGGACGCCCCCCCCGCCCCGACCCCTTCCTGCACACGCGGGACAGACACCCCACACCCCGCGGGGGCACCGGGGGGGCACCGGGGGGAAGGCGCAGCCCCACGGCCGCGTGTCCATCTCCCCGTGGCCCCGTGTCCTCCTGGCCCCGTGTCCCCATGCCCTCGTCCTCATGTCCCCACCTCTCCATGTCACCACGTTCCCGTCACCACATGTGTCCCCACGTCCCCGTGTCACCCTGTCCCCACATCCTCATGTCCTCATGTCCTCACGTCCCCACCTCCACATCCCCATGTCCCCGTGTCCCTGCAGGCCCATGTCCCCACTCCCTCATCCCGACGTCCCCATGTCTGTGTCCCCACATCCCCACGTGCCCAGGTTCCCACGTCCCCATGTCACTCTGTCCCCCGGTGTCCCCACACACCCCCCTTCCTCCCTCTGCTCCCGGGATCACTTCGGGGCCGGGCAGGGCCCGTCCCTGGGCTCTGCCCCTCCCGGGGGGTCCCCTGAGCGCCGTGTCCCCCCAGCCCGTCCCGCCATGGGGGGACTGCTGCAGGCGCTCGTGGGGGTCTCGGAGAAGGCGGCGGAGCTGGCGCGGCTGTGCCGGCGGGAGGAGCCGCTCTTCCAGCTCCTGGTGGCCGAGAAGACGGGCCCCGACAGGAACAGGAGGTTCCTGCAGGACTTCAAGACCCTGGCGGACGTTCTCATCCAGGAGGTCATCAAGCACGACCTGGGCAAGGAGGTGGGTACGGACCGGGGGGTCCCCGGGTGCCCCGTGCCCCCCGGGCCACGTTGAGTCCCCTCTGTGCCCCCCCAGTTCCCGGAGCTCCAGGGCCACATCCACGGGGAGGAGTCCAACGAGTTCAGGGACGTGCAGGGTGAGTCGGGCGTCACCGGGACAGGGGGCTCCACACCGGGGCCACAGGGCTGTGACTGAGTCGGGGGTCCCTGTTCTGGGGTTGTGACTGAGTCGGGGGTCCCAGTGCTGGGGCACACGGGGTCACAGCTGAGGGAGTGTCCCCACACTAGGAATGTGAAGCCGTGGCTCACTCGAGGGTCCCCTCAGCAGGGTCTGTGGGGCTGTGGCTGAGGAGGGGGTCCCCACGCTGGGGCCACACGCTCGTGGCTGAGTTGGGGGTCCCCACACTGGGTCTATGGGGCCGTGGCTGAGCTGAAGGTACCCATGACGGGGCCGGGGCTGACTCAGGGTGTGGCAGGGGGCATGGTGGCCGTGCGTGTCTGTGCCACACGGGAGGACACGGTGGCCCTGCTGCTGTCTGTGCTGGGCCCCGAGCAGGCAGCGGCCGAGCTGCTGGCGGACGCCGTGCACCGGGACGTGGTGCTGGGGGATGTGAGGCTGGCGGGCGCCGAGCCCGGTGTGTCCCCCCAGGACCTGGCTGTGTGGATAGACCCCATCGGTGAGTGGGGGCTGCAGGGGCGGGGCGGGGAGCGGGGACCCCCTTGTGCCGCCGCTGAGCCCCGGCTGCGACCCCCAGACTCCACCAACGAGTACATCGGGGGCCGCGAGGACGTGCCCCCCGTGGATGGCATCGCCCCTGCCGGGCTCTGCTCCGCCCTGGTGCTCGTCGGGGCCTTCGACCGCCTCTCGGGCCGCCCCGTCCTGGGCGTCATCAACGAGCCCTTCTTCCGACGGGACCCCCAGACCCGCAGGTACCGGCACCGCGGGGGCACCGGGGCGACCCCCGGGGCGGGGGGATCCGCGCTCACCGTGCCGTGTCCCCGCAGGTGGCAGGGCAGGTACCACTGGGGCGTGGCCCACGGGGACACGCGGCTGTGCTCGCTGAGCCCCCCCGACCCCCACCCCGTGCCCCGCGTGGTGCTGAGCCGGGCGGAGGGGGCGGCCGTGCGGGGGGCTCTGGGCCCCCTGTGCGGGGGGCGCCTGCACTTCGCGGCGGGCGCGGGGTACAAGATGCTGTGTGTGATCCTGGGGCTGGCGGACGCCTACGTGCTGTCCGAGGGCACCACCTTCGCCTGGGACGCCTGTGCCCCCCACGCCATCCTGCGCGCCCTGGGCGGGGGGGTGGTGGCCCTGGAGGGGGCCCTGCGAGAGCGGCGGGAGGGGCGCGCCGGGGACCCCCCCGAGCTGGTCTATAACCGCCCGGCAGAGGGGGCGGGGGGGGGCCGAGCGCTGGGCGAACAGGGGGGGCCTCGTGGCTTATCTGCACCCCCAGCACCTGGAGGCCGTGCTGGGGGCACTGGCCACCGTGCCCGGGCTGTGAGCCTGCGGCGGCCGAGACCCCCCGGGTGGGTATGGGGGGGCTGGGACCCCGGGGTTAAGGGTTCAGGATGGCTGGGATCCGGGGGTATGGGGGGGGCTGGGACCAAGGACAGTGGGATGGCAGGGACCCCGGCGTGGGAGGTCAGAGGGGTCTGGGTCCCTGGGGTGTGGGCTCAGGAGAGGCTGGGACCCCAAGGTGTGGGGTCAGGGCTGTCTGGGGTGCAGAGCAGGGGGTCTCAAGGACCTTGAGGTGCAGTCACAGGGTGACAGGGACCAAGGGCAAGGGGATGGCAGGGACCCTGGGTTTGGGGTCAGGGGTGTCAGGGATCCCGGGGTGTGGGGTCGGGGGGCTGAGACCCCGGGTTTGGGATCAGGGGTGTCAGGGACACCAGGGTACAGGATACAGGGGGACAGGGACTCCGGGGTTCCCCGGAGCTGGGGTGGCCGAGACCCCCTGACCGAGGGCAGCCGGGACGGGGTGGGAGCTCTGAGTGCCGGGTCCCCTCGCTGGGACCCCCCGTATGTTCCCCCCATTAAAGCGCCTCTCACACCCCCGTGTCTGTGCTGCCGGGGCGGGGCGGGCCCGGGGCGGCGCCGGGGCGGGTCCGGGGTCCTGTTGACTCCCCCGGGCCCATCACATGATCGGGGAGCGCTCGGGAAGGACGGCGGGGAACGGGACCGGGAACGCCGGGAGCACCGGGACCGGGTGGGGAGCGACACCGGGACTACCGGGAACGGGGCGGGGAGCGGCACCGGGACCAACGGGAACGGGGGGAAGAGTGGTATTGGGAGCACCGGGAGCGGCGGGGGAGCGGCACCGGGACCACCGGGAACTCGCTGAGGCTCCTGGGCTGTGGGGGGAGCGGCACCGGGAACTTCGGGAGCCCCTGGGCCGGGGTGGGGAGCGGGACCGGGACCACTGGCACCGGCAGGGGTTGTGGAGCAGCCCCGAGAACTCCGGGAGCGGGGGCGGCAGCACCAGGAGTTCCGGGAGCACCGGGACCAGGGGGGGAGCGGTGCCGGGACACCGGGGCTCGGTCCCCGGGATCGGGGCTGGGGGTCTCGGGCCGGTGAGCGGGAGCGGGGTCGGCCCGGGCGCGGGGCCGGGGCCGGTGCTGAGCGGCGGCTCCCCCAGGACGGGCCATGGCGGTCGAGGGGGGGATGAAATGCGTGAAGTTCCTGGTTTTCTTCTTCAACTTCATCTTCTGGGTAAGTGCGGGGCCGGGGGGCACCGGAGGCACAGCCGAGGGGGGTCCCGGGGCCGGCAGAACCCGGTAGGGGGACCCAGCCCCCCATCCCCCAGACCCTGAGTTGGGGGTAACGGGGACGGGGGGGGGAGTGTCCTGCTGCCGTGGGGGTGGTCCTGGAGGGGCAGGAGGGGACCCCTGTGCCTACTCTTGGTCTCTGCAGCCCCACGTACCATCCGTCGGTTCCAGGGTTAACGGGGGAGCCCGGCCCTGGGGACCCCGCGTGAGGGTGGGGGGGGGGGACCCCTTCCTGCCTGGGGTCCCCCGATAAGCGGGGCGCGGGTTTGGGGAAGTCGGGGTGAGGAAAGAGGCGCGAGAGCCCAACGGCCGCAGCGGGGGATGGGGGCTGGGGGGGTCACGGGCCCCTTCCCGGCCGCTCTCTCGCCCCCCCACGCAGGGAGTCACTTGTCCCCACCCTAATCCTGCCGGGCTGAGTCACCCCTCGAGGGCCGGGGGAGGCGGGGGGGACACGGTGACACGGCGGGACACGGCGCCAGCCCCCCCGCCCCCCCCCCGTGTTTGTGCAGCGGCGGCCGAGCCCACGCCCCGCGAGCAAACAGGGCACGGCACGGGGGGGGAACTGCCGCCACCGGGACACGGGGGAAGCGTGGAAAGGGGGTCCCACCCTTGCGGGGGGCTTGGAAAGGGGGGGAATAGACCCCACAGCCGGGCAGGGGCGAGGTGTCCCAGCTCCCGTGGGAGGGGGCTGTTGGTGTTTCCTGGTGGGATAAACTCCCCCCCACACCGGCACCCCCGATCCACAGGGACCCCCAGGGCGGGGAGCTGGTGCCAGATTCCCCCTCCGAGGCCTCGCGTGGCCGGAAGGCCGGACTTCCTGGACTTTCCGGCACTCGTGGGGCCAGCGGTGCCCCCCCGTGCCCCCCTCCCACCGCGGGGGGGCTGTGCTGGGAGAGAAACCTCCCATGGCCCCCAGGAAGGGGGTCCCCGGTGTGAAGGCAAACTCCAGAGAGGCTGCGGGTGCCCCCCCGCCCTGGTAGCTCGGGGGGGTCCCGGGGGGGTCCCGGCTGTGCCCCAACACTCTGTGCCCCCCTCTGTGCCCCCCAGGTGTGTGGCGTGGCCCTGATCGCCATCGGCATCTACGTCCAGGTGGCCCTGGGTAAGGCCCTGGTGGTCAGCGGTGGCTCCTCGGCCGGGACCCCCGTGGCCATCCTGGTCCTGGGCGTCATCATCTTCTTCATCTCCTTCTTCGGCTGCTGCGGCGCCTGGAAGGAGAGTTACTGCATGGTCACCACGGTGAGGGGGAAACCCTGCTGGGTCCCCCGGGACATCCCCATCCAACCCCCCCACAGGGACACCCCCATCCAAGCCCCCTCCCTGACCCCCCCAATGTGACCCCCATCCAACCCCCCATCACAATCCCCACCGTGACCCCCAACCCAATCTCCGCTCCCTGAGCCCCCACTGTGACCCCCTCACCATAACCCCCCCTGTGACCCCCCCCTTTCACTGTGACCATCCCCTGATGTGACCCCCCTACCACAACCCCTCTTGTGACCCCCTCAACTCACCCCTTCCCTGCAGACCCCCACCATAACCCCTCACTAACTGCCACCATGACCCCTCCACACTGTGACCCCCCCAAAATACTCAACCCGACCCTCCTGAAACTCTCCCTGTAACCCCCATCATGACCCTCCCTCACTCTGAGCCCCCACCTGACCCTGCCACTACAACCCCCACTCAGCCCCCATGAACCCCCACCCCCACTGTGACCCCCGGGGACCTCCTGACCCCCCCCCCGTGCCCCCCCAGTTCGCCGTCCTGCTCAGCATCATCTTCCTGGTGGAAATCGCCGCTGCCATCGCCGGATACGTCTTCAAGGACAAGGTGGGGACACGTGGGACAGGGACAAGGCCCCCCCTCCCTCGAGGTCCCAGGGACCCCCTGGCCCCGGTGTGACCCCCCGCCCCCCCCAGGTGAGGTCGGTGCTGAAGGAGGGGCTGCAGGAGGCCATGAACAAGTACGAGGAGGACCCGACATTGACCGAAGCGCTGGACGAGCTCCAGAGGAAAGTGAGTATCGGGATGGGGTTGTGGGGGGCATCCAGGCCCCCCTGCCCCCCCCCCTTCCTCCTCTCAGTTCAAGTGCTGCGGGGCCAACAACTACACGGACTGGGCCAACATCAAGCAGTTCCAGGCCAACGACACCGTGCCCAGGTCGTGCTGCCGCATCAACACCACCACCTGCAACGTCCACCCCAGCCCTGAGACCGTCTATGAGGAGGTGAGACCCCCCCTCCCAGACCCCCCTGCCATGCCCTGGGGGGGTCCTGCACCCCCTGAACCCCCCTGTCCCCCCCAGGGCTGCCAGGAGAGCATTGAGGTGTGGATGAAGAAGAACATCCTGATCGTGGCCGCGGTGGCTCTGGGCATCGCCTTCTTCGAGGTGGGATGTGGGGCTGAGCCCCCCCCAGTGTGGGACTGACCCCTTGGTGTGTGGCTGAACCCCTGCAATGTGGGGCTGACAGGGCTGACCCCTCCCAACACCCCCACTGTAGGACTGTCCCCCCAACCCCGCTGGAGTGGGACTGACTCTCCCCCCTCAGTGTGGGGCTGATGGGGCTGAAACAACCCCCCCCCCCCCCCCATGTGGGACTGACCCCTCTTTTTCCTCCCCCCAGATCCTGGGCATCATCTTTGCCTGCTGCCTCATGAGGGGCATCCGCAGCGGCTACGAGGTCATGTAGCCACCCCGACACCCCCAAGGGGGCTCTGGGGTCCTGGGGGGTCCCCCTCGGCTCTGCTGGGGCAGGGTCCATGTGCCAACCCCCCCCCGGGGGTCCCTCAGGGCCAGGAGGTGTCCCCGGGTGTGGAAATAAAGAGAAAAAGCTTCCGTAGAGCTGAGTGTGCCCCCCGGGAGTGGGGAGAATGGGGGTCCCTCGGGGGTGGGACAAGGACCTTCCTGGGTGGGGGCCATGTCAGTGTCCCCAAATCCTCATGTGCCTCCTCAATGTCCCCAAGTTCCCACGTGTCACTGTGATGTCCCCAGCAATCCCCGAGCAGGCTGGGGTCAGGCTGGGGGGGCTTATTCACCACCATTGGGGGGGGTCTCACAGCTCTTGTGGGGATCTGAGGGCTCTGTGGGCCACCTCAATGTCCCCAAATTCCCGAGTGCCAACAGCCCCTAGCAGCCCCCGAGCAGGATGGGGGTCGGGCCAGGGGGTTTATTCACCACATTTTGAGGGTCTCATCGCCCCTGGGGGAGGTCTGGGGGGGTGTCTAACGAACACGGTGGGCCGGCTTGGGCAGGATGGTGGCCAGGACCAGGTCCACAATGCAGGAGGGCAGGTAGGAGGCCGGGAGCCAGAGCAGCTTCGCGTCCCAGCCCGCGCTGTAGCGGGTCCGGGGGTGTCGCGCCCCCAGCGCGTGTTCGATGCACCCCGTGACCTTGGTCAGGTCCCCGTCACACATCAGGGTCATGATGAACCTCTGCACCTTCAGGTCTGGGGGGAAAAAGGGGGCATCAGGTGGGGGGGAAGGGGGTTCAGGGAGGGGGAAACAGGCAGCGGTGACTTTCTGCACCTTGAGGTCAAGGTGAAATGGGAGAGTGGGGGAGCTGAGGCAGAGATGAGCTGGTGCACCTTGAGGTGTCAGAGATACAGGAAATATGGGAGTAGGTGAGGGGAAACTGAGGCAGGAGTGAGATGCTGCACCTTGAGGTCTGGGGGGGTGCGAAAAAGGAGGGTCAGGAGAGGGGGAACTGAGGCAGAGATGAGCTGGTGTGCCTGGTGTAGCATCGTGTGGGTGCAAAGGATGCAGGAAATGGGGTGGTATGGAAGGAAACTGAGGAAGCTCAGGGGGATGAGGGAAAAGAGGGTTCAGGAGAAGGGAAACTGAGGCAGAGCCCTCCTGCCCACTCACACTTATAGAAGCCCCCCCCCCCCCCCCC